TATGTTGTATTACTACAGATGCCTTGGGTTGCCTTTCATGGAGTCTGCCATGTTGAACTGCCATGTTTCTACAGTAGCCCAGAACAGACAAACTAATCAGTAGTAGTTATTAGTTTCTTCTTTACGCCTGGAAGGGGAGGGTGAAGCAAGGGAGTTGTGATCTGCAACTACACCGCTAGATGCCATTAAATCCTACACACTGATCCTTTAAGGAATTATCATATCTGGTGTCAGTGGTGGAAGCAGCATTCATGTAATACACACAGCAGTCCACCGTAGAAGTGTCACGTTTTCCAACATATGCTCATTCTGCAGCCAAGTAAGCAATACTAAATAAGCAGTGTTTCACTTTCAAAATAAGGCACAGTTTGATTAGATTTAAGCACCGAAAACTACGTAAGTTATGTTATGTACCTGACAATTGAACCTTCGACTTTTGGGTTCACACAGCACTCGAACAACAGTCTCCCTGTGTTTGTCGCTCTTTATGCTGCACCTTCATACATGTATGTACTTTTCACGTCTAGGCAGGGCAAAACACAACACTGACACAGTATCCTTTAGTGGATTGGCAGACTATTACATGCTTTGGTGTGAGACTGGGCTGACCTGAATAAAGTAGTAATACCACTTAGCAACGAGTAAAACTTCTACATTCGCAGTGATCAAGTTCTTTAATTACCAGAAATACTCATTGTGCATAATGTCCCCTTCCAGAGTCTTATATAATATAGTATCTATATTTTAGACTATTATTACTGATGCATTCACATGTAAAAAGTATTTGGACTCATTTGAACTATTATATATTGTTTATGTCTATATATTTTGGATATAAAATCTCAGTCTGCAGAGTAATAATGACTGAATTGTAGTGCAGTACAAGTATAAAGTGTAAAGTACTCAAGTACAAGAGTAACAACAAATTGCCATAGTAACACAAGTTACTTCACTAAGGCTGTTTTTTTATCGTTTTCATCTATTTAAGTTGTACATCTCTCTCTGACTGTCTAGACAAGTCACAGCAGCATCATGGAGGGATGTCATTTCATTGATGTGGCCAGTCAACTTTTTTAAGGTCCCCTGTCAGCCTTTGCTTCACGGTCAGTGACTGAAGCATGCTGACACATCTTTGCCTTGTGTCTGAACACCGTCTTCTCTCTCATGATGATGGGGGGAGGACTGGGTCTGCTCAGCCCCCACTGGTCTGTGTCAGCTCAGAAAAGCAGCCTTAAGCTGTGCTAGCTTAGAAGCACTTCACTGGCACTCGTGTGTCTGCCTCCAGTCATGGGGAGTATTCCTTCAGCAGCTACTGAAGACTGCCACCTATGTGAAACAAATGCCAAATTAGAAAGACCCCGGCTGCCACTAGGGGAAAGAGGGGGAGCTTGGTGCGGATGAAATGTGAAACAAAGACTACCTCCCCCACCACCTTCATCACTCCTCTCTCATGGCCTCGCTGCCCTTGGAGTAGCCGGGGCTGGTGCGGGGGAGTGACATCATCTATATCTAATGTGATTGTGGGATTGCAGAGGGGCAGCCAGTTTCATCAAGGGGCTTTGTTGGCCATCACATCATGGGAACGAAACAATCCCGCTTTATCTCAGCGATGCTGTCCTCTGGGCCAGCCGGCAGGGGGAAGGAACAGAAGAGCACAACGTGCGTGTTGGACGATAGAGGCTTCACACATACACACAGTGTTTCTCTACATCATATTTATTGTGAGTGTAAGAACAAAGGGGGATTTATAAGAATCAGCGTGTCACAAATACAAGCAAGGGAGAGAAATTTCAAAGAGAGCCCTCCACTGGAGGGAAGCAGTCATCACTGGGACAAACAGAAATGACCTCCATATTGTAGAACTGTGTACAAAGATGTGACTCAGTCTTCACTGCCGTGATCACATCTGACTGCTGTCAGCTACTTATTAGTTCAGCATGTTTCCTTTGTTCTCCTGTACAAGAGGCTGATATTTAAATGATCCAGAATGCTATACATTAGATTGGATGTTCCTAAATTGCAGCAGAAACCTAATTTATTGTAGTAATTACATTATTGGAAAAAAAATTTGAATTTGATTTGAATTAATCAAAAAACTAGGATTGGCCACTGTATTGTTGACTTGTTGGCACATCTGACATTCAGTGTGGGAATGTTCTGACTAGCTGGAATGGTGGCGGCAGATCATCAGTGCTACCATTCTACCCTATTGGAAAAAAGGCGAGGGCAGTGCTGTGATTCAGCAGAGCGCTGGTTTACAGACCTCAAACCACCTCCTGTTTGTCAGTTCTTTCCTTAGTCATGAGCCAGGGAACACTGCACATTTTTCATCTCAAAAGAAAACGCACACAAACGTGCACCTCATTTTAAAAAGGAGTGAGCAGCTCAAAAAAGTAGTTTACCTGATGGTAGGGCCAGGGTTAGGGTTTTCTGATGCAGGGTTTGGTGTTGTTGCGTCCCCAAGTGGATTAAATCAACTTCCAAATAGGAAAGAGGGGACTAGGATTAAAGATAGTCGATAATTCCCCCCACCCAGACTATTGATTAGGCATTTTGATATAAGAAGCCAAAGGTCAAGTGCCGGTGCATGACTCCATGCATCATGTGGACCACCATTCAGCCCAGAGGAGCCCCCAAAGCACAGTGTCAGTGGAGAAGAGATGAGAAAAGGATAAGATGGGGGTTGAGTGGTAGAAGATGAAGAATAAGTGGTAGAGAGAGGAGTGATGCGAGTGAGGAGTACTGGCACTAATACCCAACCCCCATGGTCCAGCAGGGGGTCTCTCTGACCCTGCCAACACAAGGACACATTTCATGTCGTAAGCTGACAGAGAAGACGCACGGTCTTTGTCTGAGTGTGAGAGGATAGGTAGAGGAGCACCTTGAGTAGCTAGCCTGCTGGGCGACAGCCTGCGGTGTGATCCCCATGTTTATGCTCTTTGTATTTAACCTCCAAACCTGGCACAGTTAAGCAGCGAACATCCCCCTTAATGAAAGGAATACAGACTTTCATCAGTCTGGGCTGAGAAACATGCCACACACACACACACACACACAGTGAACAAAAGAAATGGTGGACACAGAGGCAATGTAACTTAATTTGTCCTGGCATATGTTAATATACTTGGACAAATTTGATTTTAATATATTTAATATTTGTATGGTCAGAAACAAACAGTCCATACATAATCTTAAGGCTTGTTTCTTGTACAGTGTAGAGGTGGGGTCATGTCCTCCGCAGTGTCTGGCCTGTACAGTAAGCTGCACTGGGAGAGGATTAGGACCTACACTATCTAATTTAATCCACCTTCAGGGGACGTTTACTTACCCACGGCTCAGCAGGAACGTCTGAGCTGTCACTGAGGATGACACTTTCCTTACATTTCCAATTCTCTTAACGTCTATGTGAAAATGTATTTAAAGTGATCAGTCCTTTTGTGAATTAAACCTTGTGAACTGCTGGACTTAATGGACCAGTGTGAAGGATTTAGTGGCATATGTGGTGTAGTTACAGATTGCAACCAACTCGCCTC